CACATGCAGTTGACTCAGCAGCTGGCTGAGTGGGCTTTTACTCCAACAACCACCTGCCAGCAGTAATTATTAGACAGCCTACATTTGCTTATTTTCAAGTTTGGACAGTTTTTTCTCTGTCACTCTGCTTTTTTAAAGGTTGAATGGCTTTATAGCTTACTATGACGTACATGGCTGATAGCAGATTCCTCATTGCAAGACTTTGATGGAACAGACAGAGGAGTGAGCACCAGGACATCTGTGGGCTGAAAATGTGCAGAAGCTTCTCAGCTTGGTGTAATCCCATTTGTCTGTTTTGGCTTTTAGTGCCTGCTTCCAGGGTCTTATCCAAGAAGTCTTGGCCTATGGCAATGTATTACTGAGGTTCCTCATGGATTTCCTATAGTTTGTTGGCAGTATCAATCATCAATTAGATGTTTGATCCACCGTGAATTAGTTTTTGTATAATGTGTAAGGTAAGGGTCTTGTTTCATACATCTCTTCAGCACCAAGTGTTGAAGAGACCATCCTTTTTCCATGGATTAATTTTAACTCATTTGTCAAAGATTAGTTGTTTGTAGATAGATGGGTTAATTTTTATTGTGTTCCATTGGTCTGCATGTCTATTTTTGTGCCAGTGCCAGGCTCTGTGGATTATAACTGCCATGTAGTATGTCTTGACATCTGTTACTGGGATGCCTCTGGTTTTGGTTTTGGTTTTTAGAATTGCTTTAGCTGTTCTGGATCTCATATGTTTATATATGAATTTAGGATCATTTTTCCTAGGTCTGAGAAGACTTTCTGTGAAATTTCAATCAGAATCACTTTGAATCTGTAAATTACTTTGAGTACTATGGATATTTTGATAACGTAAGTTCTGCTAGTCCATTAACATGGAGGGATTTTACATTTTTATCTTCTAATTCTTCCCTTAATGTTTTATAATTTTCGCTTAATAGGTCTTTGACTTCCTTGGTAAAATGTATTTGACTATTTAAATTTGTGTAGCTTGTGCATTGTTTTGACTTTATGAGTTCTTACTCATCCCTGGTATTCTTGGTGTATTCAAAGGCTTTTGAATTGTGTGTGTGGGTTTATATACTACATTTGGCAAACTGTCTTATGAGCTCCAGTAATCTCTTAGTGGAGTCTTTTCATTCCACGATGTAGAACCAAGTCATCTTCAAACAGGGATGATTTGCCTTCCTCCCTGTTAATTTGTATCCCTTTGATTTCTTTATCTTTCCAAATGACTCGTTCTGAAACTTCGAGAACTATATTGAATAGTAGAGGTCAATGTGTAGGCTTCCTTTTTTGGTTCTGGATCTTAGTAAGGCGATGGATCCAGCTTTTCCCCATTCAGTGTGATGCTGGATGTGGATTTGGAAAAAATTGCCTTCATTGTGTTGAGGAATGTTCATTCTAAACCCAGCTTGCTGAAGACATTTATTATAAAACAATGTTGTATTTTACCAAATGCTTTATCTGCATCTATTGAGAATCATAGGGTTTCTAAAAAGTTGTTGAGAATTATTTTGTGGCCTATTACATGGTCTTTCCTAGAGAATGTTTCATGAGCTGATGAAAAGAATGTGAATTCTATGGCTGTGGGGAGAAATGTTCTGTACATATGAATTAGATCCATGTACTCAGTAGTGTAGATTAGCTCTGTTGTTCCTTTGTTGATGTTTTTGTCTCGTTGATCTATCCATTTATGAAAGTAGGGTATTGATGTCTCATTATTATTGTTTGGGGTCATATGTCTCTCTTTAGAACCAGTAGTGTGTGTTTTAAATAGCTGCAGAGGTAGGGAGTGGCTCTATGGCATAGTAGGTAAAGCCGCTGCCTGTGGTGCTGGTATCATATATGGGTGCTGGTTCAATTCCTGGTTGCTACCCTTTGAATCCAGATCCCTGTTAATATGCCTGGGAAAGCAGTAGAAGATGGCTTAAGTACTTGGGTCCCTGCACCTGTGAAAGAGATCCAGAAGAAGCTCCTGGTGTTGGATCAGCACGGCTCTGTCATGACCATTTGGGGAGTGAACCAGTGGTTGGAAATTCTCCCTGTCTTTTCCCCTGCCCCCATAATTCTTTCAAATAAATAATTCTTAAAAAAAAAAAAAACAAATAGCTGATGTCTCTAGAATTGGATGCATATACATTTACTGTAGTCACACATTCACACTGAGTTGTTAAATAATGACCTTATTTGTCTCTTATTTTGTCTTTTTAAAATTAATTTTTTTTTATTTTTGACAGGCAGAGTGGACAGTGAGAGAGAGAGAGAGAGAGAGAGAGAGAAAGCTCTTCCTTTTCCGTTGGTTCACCCCAGAGTGGCTGCTGTGGCCGGCACACCACGGCTGGCACACCGCACTGATCCAAAGCCAGGAGCCAGGTGCTTCTCCTGGTCTCCCATGCGGGTGCAGGACCCAAGGACTTGGGCCATCCTCCACTGCACTCCCAGGCCATAGCAGAGAGCTGGGCTGGAAGAGGAGCAACCAGGACAGAATCCGGGACTAGAACCTGATGTACTGGGGCTGCAAGGTGGAGGATTGGCCTGGTGAGCCACGGTGCTGGCCTCTTATTTTGTCTTTTTTTTTGACAGGCAGAGTGGACAGTGAGAGAGAGAGACAGAGAGAAAGGTCTTCCTTTGCCGTTGGCTCACCCTCCAATGGCCGCCGTGGCTGGCATGCTGCGGCCGGCGTACCACGCTGATCCAATGGCAGGAGCCAGGTACTTATCCTGGTCTCCCATGGGGTGCAGGGCCCAAGCACTTGGGCCATCCTCCACTGCACTACCTGGCCACAGCAGAGAGCTGGCCTGGAAGAGGGGCAACTGGGACAGAATCCGGCGCCCTGACCGGGACTAGAACCCGGTGTGCCGGTGCCGCAAGGTGGAGGATTAGCCTAGTGAGCCGCAGTGCCGGCCTTATTTTGTCTTACAGTCCATTTTGCCTGATATTAAGATAGGTGTTCCTGGTAGTTGATTTTTATGTTCATAGAATATCTTTTGCCATCCTTTGACTTTGAATCTGTGTGCTATCTTTGATGGTGTAGCGTGTTTCATGTTGACAGCATATACATGGATCTTGCTTTTATATCCATTTAGCCAGTTTCTGTCTTTTAATTGGAATGTCTAGTCCATTTATGTTCAAGGTTATTAATGATATGTAGTGAATCAGTCTTGGTTTTTCCAGTAACAATGCTGCTGCTTTTGATATGCTTTGTACTGTTATGACAAGGCTTTCTAACTTCATATTCTTTCAGGATGTTGGTTATTTTTCTGTTGCTGTGTGTCACAGATCCTTCAATGTCATTTGTGAGGCTGGTCATGTTGTAACAAATTCTTTGAATTTTTTTCTTCACTGGATACAAGTTTTTTTCTGTAGGGTCTGGGACTATATTGCTCCATTCTCTCCAGTCCTGTTGGGTTTCTGATGAGAAACCTGCCATCTAATTGGAGATCTTTAAAGGTATATGGTGTTTATTTCTTGCACACTTTAGGATCTTTGTGTTTTACTTTGGAATGTTTGAATATAGTGTGTTGTGATGAAGATCTTCGCTGAACATTTCTACTGTGGGTTGAAATTTTCTTCCTGTACTTGGATATCCTTATCGTTGTTCAAATTCAGGAAATTTTCTGCTGTTATTTCACTGAAGAAATATTGCAAGTCATTTTGCTTTTCTACTCCTTCAGGAATGTCTAAGATTTGTACTTTTTCAAAAGATTTTATTTATTTCAGAGGAAGAGTTACAGAGAGAAGGAGAGACAGAGAGGTCTTCCATCCACTGGCCCACTCCCCAAATGGCCACAGTGGCCAGACCTGAACTGATCAGAAGCTAGGAGCTTCCTCTGGGTCTTTTCCTGTGGGTACAGTGGCCCGAGCATTCAGAACATCCTCCACTGCTCTCCTGCAGGGAGCTGGTTCAGAAGAGGAGCAGCCGGGACCAGAACCAGCACCCACATGGGATGCCGGCACCACAAGTGGAGGCTTTGCCCACTGAACCATAGCATGGGCCCCAGAAACGTATGTTTTGTCATTTGATGGTATCCCGCGGGGATGGAACATTGTCCTCGGTTTTTCTCTTGCTTTTTTCTGATGAAAGAGTTCAATAGCTTTGTCTATGTTTTGGAAATTCTTTCTTCTGCCTCACCGAGCTTTTCCTCCCTGGAAATGTAACATAAGGGTTTGTGGAGTGCCTTGGGCTTTTACTTGAGTTCCAGGGTGTGTGTGCTAGGTAGAGGCAAGGATTTCTAGTCACCTTCTGTGGGTGGGCTAGGATCTGGTGTGACACAAACGTTGGGTGTGCTGGAGCACCTGTGGCTACAGTGAGAGGTGGGAGGTGATTGTGGAATAGATTCATGTGCGCCCAGTTGCAGCCCTTCACTGTGCTGGGTGAATTGGCTGATTCACAGTCCAGAGTAACCTCATGGTGCCAGCACAACCAACCCACCCAGGCACATGATAAACACAGAGCACAGGCTTACTCCATTTTCTGTCCCTCAGCTCTTCAGCAAGTTCTGACTATAGCATGCAAGGAGCCCATATTTTTCCACAGACTGTTGAGGTGAGCAGGAAATCAGCTACAACTCATTTCTCTCTCAGCTACATAACATAAGCCTAGAACTCACGTCGTCATGAGAGTGCAGGGGCCCACTCTCCACACTGCGAGCTCCCCCATCCCGGCCCTGGCATCGCCATAACTACCCATTGTTCCTCAGTCAGGACAAAGGGCAGATACACATCCACATCAGTCCATTGTGTCTGGTGCTTTGGTGGTAAAAGGGTGGGAGGCTATGAGGCCCCCCTTCCAAAGAGCAAAGTAGATGGCAAACCCCTGCCAGCTCCCAAGAATGCACTTGAAGGCAATGGGGACTGTGGAATTCTCCCTCATTCAAACATAGCCAGAATCAGGGGCTGCAGCAGCTCCTCTCACCCGGCCACGTGAAGATGGTGCTTTCCCTACAGTCGTGTTCTCTTCAGTGCCTTCTCCACTAAATGTGTCTCTCAGTCCCCTGATAGTGACCCATCCTTTATTGCACCAACGTCTTTCTGTGGCTGAAGTCAGTGTGGCTTTGCTCTAATGAACCATCTTGGGTCTCACTTAACTCCATACATTTAAATGAAACCAGAAAGCATATTCTATAGGCAATCAATAGTCATTTGAACATCAACATATTTGCTCAATGAAAGAAGTGAAATTTATCAGGGAACAATTGAACACTTACTTTCCTTCTCCCACATGGATTTGAAAAACTGGATCATTCGTCTTTCACTACTGATGAACAACAAAGGACCAATGGTGGCATAGCCATTGCCTACTAACATCTGGACACAGACGTGAACTGGGTCATTTTTCCACCACAGCCCTGAGAATGAGAACACAGTGCAGTCCATCAAGTACAGCATCACAAAGACGCTCATGAGCAGCAAAATGGTCTTGGTGGCCCTGTGCTCTGGGGAGGCTCTTGGAGAAAGGCTGGTTTTGTGAAGGTGCTGGGACCGCCTATTGTGTCTGCACAGGATAATCACCATGTACCCACTTGAGATGGCCATGAGCCCTATAAGGAAGATATCCCTGAAGATCCATAAAATGGAAATTGTGTGCCTCGGTAAGTAGCTCTGGGGCAAAAGCGAGCAGGATTGAGTGACAACTATGAGACTGTGGGACGTACGATTTGTGGTGGCAACAGTAGAGAGTAAGAAATGTGCACTGATGGACAGATTGAAGACCCATAGGAAGACAAAACCGCTGATGTTGTAATGTGAGGATGTGTGCTTGAACTTTGCCAAACAGGAGCTCCTGGGGCTGAGGGTGATGGCCTGGAGGACACTCAGCAGGCAGGTGTTACACAGGGAGAGGCTTCGCATCACCTGGTACGAGTAGATGACAGCTTTACATGTGATGTCGTCCCATAACTCCCGAGACTCAAAAATGTCTGTGGCTATGAACCCTGTGGTGATCAGCATCACTAGGTGGTTGAGGGCCAGGTGTCCAATGGTCAAACTAGTGGATGTGGCCCTGTGCGTCAGAAAGAAGGAGAGGACGTGGAAGAGAAGTAGGAAGGCATTAGCTGTGATACCAATGCTGACTTCCAAGAAAAAGGTGTCTCTTACAGCAATAAAACTGGAAAGTATATTGGTTCTACTCATTTTTTGTGCAAGACAGGCATGTAGTAATGTCTGAGGAAAAAGTAAGAAAAATTATCTGTGGTGGAATGAGAAAGCCATGCCAAGAAAGCCACTGGCAAACAAGCATCAGTTACTCAGGAATGGCTTCAGAAACCCCCTGGGAAACCACCTGGAAATGGAGCCTGCCTGGCAACAGGCTTTGATTGGTTAGGGCATAAACCGCCCCTTGACCAGAATGGGTGCCTTGCTATATAAGCTGCTGTACCAACTGAAATAAATGAGTCTGCAGGCTGCTTGCCTCTAGCCCGCTTTCACCGGACTCCCAGTGTATGTATGGTGACTCCATGCCTCTTGCCCCCACCGCACCCCTCCTCTCAGAACCAATCCACAGCAACTTCTGGAACCCATTGTGCCTGAGACAGTGTTTCAGACTTAGTGGGGTCCCCCTGGGAAACCCCCAGAAACATATGTTTTGTCGTTTGCCACCTGGCAACAGAACCTGCCTGGCTACAGGCTGTGATTGGTTAGGGCATAAATTGCCCCGTGACCAGAATGGCTGCCTAGGCTATATAAGCTGCTGTACCAACTGAAATAAATGAGTCTGCAGGCTGCTCGCCTCTAGCCCGCTTTCACCGGACTCCCAGTGTCTGTATGGTGACTCCATGCCTCTTGCCTCCACTGCACTCCTCCTTTCAGAACAAATCCACAGCAACAGTTATTCATCACAGATAATACTCATGTATCAGTCTCAACTTCAAGTTTCTCCTTTTGAAGATATGTTGATCATTTTCCATGCACCCTTTTTCACCTTGGAATACTGCAGTCCACCAAAGACTCTCCTGGAATGTGCTTTGTTCCTAGCTCCACACAGGCCAATCATGATTGGATATACATCCCACTCCTGGGCTGCAACAGGAACTGGACAGTATAATGGCCATTATCTGAAAGGCATTTCCTGATTTTTATGTAATTTTTAGTTATACAAAATCTGGGAAAATGATTTGTTTCCTTATATAGCTGCAAAATCCTGATAAATTTATGGATACATAGAATGCAATTTTTGATGAATTGAAGTGAAAATTTTAGGAAAGCATAAATTAGACCCCAATACACAGTAAGTGTAAAGAGTATGTACATACATAATGTATGGCCTTCAGCTATAGCTCAACATGTGACCCCCAATTATCTACAAATGTAGGTAAGCATATTATTTATTAAAAACACTTTAGGTGAAAGAGTATTAGATAATTGCATGAAATGGATAATGTGCCTGGGGAACAATGGTCGCTGTAGGAACTGCAGCCATTGCTGTCCCTGTGAGGTTCTCCTGCTGAGCTCACCTTGAGAGAGCACCGTCCTCTCATAATTTGCCAGCTCTGTCGCTGTGTGGAGGAGCAGTGGTATGTGAACAGCACAGTAGCAGGCACTGAACACCCTCTGTTCCACAGTGTTATCTTTTTCCATTCCCAAGCATAGTGAAAGAGCAAGAATATGTTCATATTCTAAGGGAACAATTCCTTTTTTAAAAGATTTTATTTATTTATTTGAGAGGTAGAGTTACAAAGGAGAGGAGGGAGAGACAGAAAGGTCCTCAATCCACTGGTACACTCACCAGATGGACCCAATGACCAGAGATGAACTGATTGAAGCCAGGAGTCAGGAGTTTCTTCCGGTTTATCCCACATGGGTGCAGGGTCCCAAGCATTTGGGACATCTGCTGCTTTCCCAGGCTATAAGTAGAGAGCCAGATTGGAATAGGAGCAGCTGTGACAAAACCAGTGCCCATGTAGGATGCCAACACTCATGCAGAGGCATAGCCTACTATACCCCAGCACCAGCCCCGGATAATTCTTTTTCACAGAGTTAATGCATGAACACTCTCTCCACCTCCACCAAGCAGGTGGTTCTCCATAGGGCCCTGAGCTTCCTGTCCTCCTCATGTGAGGAGGGGCATGGGAAGTAAGCTTTAAGTTTGTCCGGGAGACCTTGTTCATGGCCTGCCTGTGAGATGCTGTCCCTGTGCAGTACAGTTCGTTACTTGGATTCAAGCCTTATAAGTATGTGGCATAGAATTTTGAAAAAAAATCCCCACTGTACATTTCCACAGAATTGTCATAAGAAAATCAAAATATCATACTGTTTCCTCTGCAACATATTAGAGTATTGTGGTTCTACACCACAAGTTCATAAGGAGAAGCAGAACTGCTTAGGCCACGTGATTCTTTAGCATTTAAGAATGCAGCGAGATTCGCCGGCGCCATGGCTCACTTGGCTAATTTTCTGCCTGCGGCGCTGGCACACAGGTTCTAGTCCAGGTTGGGGTTCCAGATTCTGTGCCGGTTGCTCCTCTTCCAGTCCAGCTCTCTGCTGTGGCCCGGGAAGGCAGTGGAGGATGGCCCAAGTGCTTGGGCACCTGCACCTGCGTGGGACACCTGGAGGAAGCTCCTGGCTCCTGGCTTTGGATCGGTGTAGCTCTGGCTGTGGTGGCTATTTGGGGGAATGAAGACCTTTTTCTCTGTCTCTCTCTCTCACTGTCTAACTCTATCTGTCAAAATCAATTAATACTGACGCCATAAACAAGAGTGTCAATTTGTTAAGTCAACAACAGGAGTCACTGTGCACTTACTCCTCATGTAGGATCTCTGTCCTTAATGTGTTGTTCAATGTGAATTAATCTTATAACTAGTACTCAAACAGTATTTTACACTTTATGTTCTGTGTGGGTGCACACTGTTGAAAGCTGTACTTAACATATACTAAATTGATCTTCTGTATATAAAGAGAATTGAAAATGAATCTTGATGTGAATGGAATGGGAGAGGGAGTGGGAGATGGGAGGTTTGCGGGTGGGAGGGAAGTTATGGGGGGTGGGGAAGCCATTGCAATCCATAAGCTGTACTTTGGAAATTTATATTAGTAAATAAAAGTTAAAAAACATTCTTAAAAAATTTGTGGTCCTCACTGAGTTTGAGTCTGGCCTGCAGGAGTGATGCGAGTGAGGGCACCCATGCACCTCATGTAGCACTCCCCCTCTCTATCAACTTGCCTGGACACCTTGCCAAGGCAGGGTATCCATCAACCTCTATGAGTAAGGCAGCTGACTGTGGGAAGATCATGGTTCTTTCTGTGGATAGGGGGAACTAATATAGATTGCCTGTTCCTGTGACTGTGGAATTCTGTGTGATAGGGTGTGCAGTCGGCTGTGGCTGGGTCTTTGGGCAATCACCAAGTCTGGATTCAGAGCTCAGGGTTCCTCACTGAGATTGAGACGTGCGTGGATCCATTGTTCAGTTCATGCATCTGAATGGGGGAGGTGCCTAGGCACTGTGGGTTCACCATGGGTGGTTGGATCACCTTGGCAGAGAGGAGCTGATGCTGTGTCCCGTGACATGATCCTACCCTCCCCTCTGCTGACTCTGCACCTGGATGTCACCCTGGGTGTTTACCCCAATCTTGATCACTGGCTGGAGCTCCCTGGTCCAGCTGGACATCCACTGAAGGAGCAAACACTCCACAGAGGCATAATTCAAAGATAGAAGCCATCAGGGGAGAAAACCAACAGGTGGATCTACAAACGTTTAAAAATAAGCATAGAAACACAAGAAACATGGAAAAGGATGAAAATAGAACTCTCCAAAAGGAACACAAGAAGACTTCAGTATTAGAATGTGAAGACAACGAGATGGGTCAACTGCCTGAAAAGGTATTCAAAAGCATGATAAGATTTCTCAAAGACCTAGAGAAACAAATAAAACAGAACTAAAGGAAACCACACATAACACAAATGAAAAAATTCTGATGGGCAATGGAGATACAGAAGAAAATTGTAACAAATATTGAAGATGGAGAATTCAACATGTCAAATAAGTAGAATGGAAAGTCTTAACAGCAGCATTGGTGAGACAGAAAACAAATTATAGAAAGGAATTTTTAGATGCAATACATCCCATTCAAAAATCAAAGGATATTCTTCTCATATCTAGAAAAAGCACTACTGAAATTCATATGGCAGCACAAAGACCCAAATAGCTAAAGGAGTCTTAAATAACAAAAAACACAGCTGGAGGCATCACAATAGTGTAGTTCAAGACATACTACAGGGGCGGAACCAAGATGGCGGAATAGTCAGGATGCACACTGATAGTCTGGGAAAAGATAGGTTGATAAAAGAGGAATTACAGTAATCACAGGGAAAGGCTTGGGGGAAAAATGCAAAGGAAACCCTTCTGGATCTAGTGGATGTGACACAGACAACCAGTGGGGAGAGCAGGGACGCCCAAGGCTCTTAGTCCACACATCGGCGCTGGAAGGGGAGGTGAGCTCAGTAACCTGAGACACTGGCAGGGAAATGGCAGACAGAGTGTAGAGGGAAGCAGGCTTGAGGAGGGAAAGTTCACCAGACTGACTACAGGAGAAAAGGAAGAAAAAAAAGTTGGGGTGTACTGGTAGGGGCGAGTTTCTCTCTCCGCTGACCTTGCAAAGGCAAGCAAGAGACAAAGAGCAAGTTCCATTCTGGATATACATAACAAAAGGGTAGAGCTAAGGAACTGAGGTGCTACAATTCAGTAGCCTAGGCAACCCAGTGGGAGTCCACTGGAGAAACTGAGCCCGCACAGATTCTTTGGGTAGAAGACAGAGATCTGAAGCTAAATACCATCAATTCTGGTCAGCCATATGGTATTACATACTACTGAAAAAAAGAAAAAGAAAAAGAAAGAAAAAGGGAAAGGGAAAGGGAAAGGGAAAGGGGAAGAGGAAGAGGAAGAGGAAGAGAAAGGAAGGAAAGAAGGAAAGAAGGAAAGATTTACCATGCATAACGTGAGGGTGTCACCTTTGCACACGCTTAGCCGGAAGAACCAAGCAGAGCTCTCTGGCCACACCCATCTCAAGCCTCCAAGGCTCCTCCAACAGCAGACAGTCCACTTAACACAGACATAGTATATATATAAAAAAAAAAAACTCACAGTGAGGGAATAAGAATTAACAATGCCAAGCAACAAACACAAAAATCGAGGGAACAAGATCAACGAAGACACTATGACGCCTCCAAATAAACAAAACACCCCAAGCCAAGATTATGAAGATGATGAGATAGAAGAAATGCAAGATACAGATT